TTCTCTCAGAGGTCTCAGGCTCACCTACCTCACAGGGTGTCTGTTGTGGGGAGAAGAAGGGAAGGAGATTGTAAGCCACTCTGAGTGAAGGGTGGAGTGTAAATCCAATCTCCTCCTCCTCCTCCTCCTCCTCCTCCTCCTCCTCCTCCTCTTTCCATTAAGGGCCAGGTAAAAATGGTTGAGCCAAGGAGTTGCCTGCGTTACCAGAATAAGCAAGTTACAATGTAGTCCTATGCAGAGTTACTTCTAAAATTAATGGGCTTAGACTTGAGTAACTCTGAATAGGACTGCACTGTTAATTACTTTAATTCTTATTGCCTTGCTGGTAACAAATATCTTTAAGATACACAGAGTTGGTCTTTGTATGTTTACTTTAATTACTTGTGGCTTACCACATGGTTGATGAGATTCTTAGTAGTCTAAAAAAGGAATGTCTAGCTTGACTGCCTATGCCACTTCTGGCTCATAGATAAACAAAAGAGTCAATTTCTTTACTTCCAATATTCAGTTGGACATAAACACAGATGAAAATTCATCTGGATATACAGATGAAAATTTATTTTGTATATCCAGAAACAGCATCATTCTTTGAAAGTGCAGTGACATCTCACAGTTGGTGTGGGCCAACTACAGAACTATATGCTCATTGTATGCTAACATACTGTCATATTGTATTTTCATAGAATTGAATTCATGTACTGTTTTAGCAATTCCTTTGCATTTTTGTTTTTAGGGAAATACTGGCCCTATTGGTAATGAAGGCATCATAGGCCCAGCAGGCAAACCTGTAAGTGTAGTTTGTCATATTTTCCTCTTTAAGATATCTTATTGCATTTCTGTCATTATGTGAAGGTTTTCCCACTCTAATGAATAAATAGATCAGGCCTCTTTCATAATATAGCATGTCTGCAAGATGAATAATGTGAAAGGGTTTTGGGTCAGGGTCAAGAGAATATACGTTTTTCTTGGCAAGTCAGTGTATACAGCCTCCGAGAAATAGACCTATAATTTGCATTATCCTTAATTAAAAATGAATGTTGCAAATGCAACAAAGTATTGATGGCACCTTAACTAACATGATTATAGTGGCTTCATCTTTCCTGGTTCAAATCCTACTTTGTCCTATGCACAAAGTTTTCCTCTACAGAAAAGTATATGGTTCTTTAAAATATTTATTTAATACAGTAAAAAAGATATACATTATAAGAAGTGTATACATAACAGGTACAAGTTGAGCTTGTCTATCCAAACCATAACAACCTTGTGAAATTAAGAACTCTCTCACACTTCGCTGCAAGTTCTCTTCTTTGCACAACCCTTGACCATGAGTCTAATCTGGAAGAATATTTATCATGTTGGTAGAACATTAATTTCCACACTTGTGTAGATTTCTTTTACTTATCAAGCTAGTCATGAATTTGGGTCCTTTTTTTGTTGCTTCCATTTCCTAGCAAAGACCAATCTGGCTATGGTAATTATACGTTAATCTACTAGCTGAAGAGTTTTAGGACGTCAACTACACAATTTAACAGTAATATAGGGAATCTGTCTCTGCAATCTGAGTGACATAATTTCAACCACCTGTTTCCAGTAATCTGTTGCCTATTTACATATCCACCGTGTGTGGAAAATGTCTGCCTTCTCTGCCTCACAAACCAGCACTTACTACTCCCAGTTCTATACATCTAGCCTGAAAGGGGTTAGGTGCCATTGACAGATCCTTTTCATCAGATTTTCCCTAAAAGAGAGGCAAAGGTCATTTCGTGTGTGTGTGCGTGTGTGTGTGTATCCTTATATATAATTCTGTTTTGGTTGTGGACTCTCGACACGCTCCCGAATCAGTTCGCTCCCTGATGTGTCACTCACCAGGGGGCTCTCTCCACTGGCTGCATGGCTGATGGCGTTCCTGTGGTCCTGCCCACAGAACCTGCACCCAGCAGCTCGCCCTCATTGTGCCTTGCTCGCCGCCACTCCTGCACCTTCGCGGAGACTAGGTGGGAGCTGCTGTGGCCAGGAGGCAGCGGCAGCAGCTTCCTCTCCCTGTGGCCCCAAGAATGGATCACGGCAGCGCTGCAGCCGCTTGCTCAGTCTGCGGGGCTCAACAGGACTCCCTCACTCGCTGCTCCCCTTCACCGGGAGGTCGGGGAACGAGGAGGAGGCAGGGCACCAGCGTCTGTCTACAGCTCGTTGTGTTTCGTCCCACAACGGGCTGCCTCCTGAACTTGCTGGGAGGTCTCTGGGAGGGCCGGGTGGCATTGGGCCTCTTCTTCGGTGGCACGCCACCCCTCGTCGGCCCATCTTCGCCCCCCCCCCAGCTGGCTTCTGAAGCCGCAGAGAGGCCTCCGGGAGGGGTGGCTGGCGTGGGCCCTCTCCTTCGGCGCTGCACTGCCCGTTGCTGGCCTGTCCCCCCCCCCAACCTTTCATATAAATTTGCGGGGAGGCTGTGCACTGCGGCTGCAGGCAGAGGCACTCTCCCAAACCCTCTGTATAGAGGCCATTGCATTTCTTTCTGCAACGAGCCTTCTTGATAGTATATATATATATTTATGTATATTTGCCATCTATTAAGAAAACTTATCAGATTTAAATAATATAGCCAATAAAATGGTATACAGGATTGAAATAAGGTGTTCAAAGGAAAAAGGAAAGATGTTTCTCTTTTCTGTACCACTAAGGTCATGCATCTGACAAAGTGGGCTCTGGCCTAAAACCCAATAGATATATTTCACACTACAATATATTTGTTAATGTTTAAGGTATCATAGCATTCAAACCAGAGCGTTGCCGTGCGATGTGCCCAGCGTGTTGATGTCACTTCTGTCACACAGGGCAGTTTTACCACAGAGTTTTGCCCTCAAACCAGAGCATCGCCATGCAGTGTCCCTGACGTGATGATGTCCCTTCCATGTGATATCATGTTACGGAGCCCCATCCCACTCCCAGAAGTCTCCCTCCCACCCACCCCCAGCGCGTCAATGAGACCTGGCAACCTTATCTATAGCTTACCAGAGTGGTTGGGTAGGTTCATATGGGAGAAGGTGGTCTTTAGGGTATGCAGGCCCCAAACCATATAGGGTTTTAACATCAATACCAGCACCTTGAATAGGGCCCAGAAACAAATCTGAATCCAGTGTAGATCAAACAAGGCTGGAGTGATATAGTCTCTACAACCTACTCCAGTCAACATTCCGGCCACAGTATTCTGTACCAACTGTGACTACTAGATGCTCTTCAAGTGGAGCCTCATGTAAAGTGCATTGCAATAAACTAATCTAGTGGGAAGATCTTTCCCATGCAGGAAGGGCCACAGTTGGCTCACCAGTTGAAGCTGGTGAAAGGCACTGCTGGCCACCACTGCCAGCTGTTTATCCATCGGAAGACCTGGGTCCAGCGGCACCCCAAGCTACAAAACTGCTCATTTAGGGGGAGTGCAACCCCATCCAGAACAGGAAATATCCCAATTCCTGGGTCAGACCTTCCCACTACCAGTAGCACAGTCATTTTGTTAGGATTAAGTTTCAGTTGTTAGTCCTCATCCTTCCCAAAACTGTTTCCATATATCTACCAGTTTGTGGTTTCTGCAGCTTCCCTGGAATCTGCTGGAAGCACAAGATGGAGCTGAGTATCATTTGCATACTGGTGGCAACTCAGCCCAGATTTCTGGATGAGCTCTCCCAGTGGCTTTATGTAGATGCTGAAAAGCATGGGTGACAATATAGAACCTTGAGGAACCACATGGGCCAGAGGCCAAGGGGCAGAACAGCAGTCCCCTGGCATCACACTTTGAAACTTGTCTTCAAGAAACCACCACAGAACAGTGCCTCCCAGTCCCAACTCCAAAAAGCGGTCCAGAAGGATACCATGATTGATAGTATCAAAGCCACTAAAAAGTCCAGGGTCACATTCCCCCTGTCCATCTCCCAGTGCAGGTTATCCCCCAGCGCTACCAAGGCTTTTTCTGTCCCATACCCAGGCCTGAAATCAGATTGTAATTGATCCAAACAATTCCAACAACAGAAGTCCCTGAAGTTGGCCAGCCACCACTTGTTCAATCACCTTGCTCAAGAATGGTACATTTGAGACTAGAAGGCAGTTATTCAAGTATCCTTGGTCCAGAGTAAGTTTCTTTAGGAGTGGATGCACGACTGCTCACTTCAAGGCAGGGGCAATCATCCCTTCTCTTTGGGAAGCATTTACTGTCTCCTGGACACACATCCCCCAGCAGATTTAAGCAGCCTGGACAGGCAAGGTGGTACAAGCGGATGGTAGGTCTCAAACTTTCAAGAATCCAGATTGGATGAGCTGGAAGCTACCCCATAGAACCATCCAATCCTGTCACTGCTAATGTAGAGTCCAAGTCAGAATAGATGCAAGAGATTTTGTCCTCAAAATGTTGAGGTAAAGATTGCATCGGGCTGCAGAACAGTTAACCTCCTTTTGTAGGCCAGAATCCAATTGGCACCTGACCACCTGGAAGTGTTCTGCAGGTCTATACAGTGGATGCAATCATGGCAGAGAAATATTGTTAAAAAGACCACCCTGTGTTTCAGTCATGAACAGGTGGGCACACGTATGAATAACTGTACACAATCTATGTTAGCTCTAAGGTTTATCACATTTATTTACATCGTAATATTTGTTGAAAGAAATTGCATGGTTCTGTGTGATAATCCTCCTTTTTGCTGCATGTTCAGGACTGAGAAATATCACAACCTGTTCATTCGATTTTGTGGTCCTAAAATAACTTCAGTTGCAAGCCTTTTAAAAGTCCAGCAATATAATGTCTACTGGATCACCCTTGTCTATATGTTTGGTTGCTTTCTCAAAGAGCTCCAAAAGGTCGGTGAGGCAGGACTTCCCTTTGCAAAAGCCATGCTGATTTTCCCTCAGCAGGCTTTGTTCCTCCATGTGCCTAATAATTCTGGTTTTCGTTACAATTTCTACTAATTTGTCTGGGACAGACATTAGGCTGAGTGGCCTGTAATTTCCTGGTTCCCCTCTGGACCCCTTTTTAAAAATTAGTGTAACATTTGCTATTCTCCAGTCTTCTGGTATAGCAGTTGAATTTAATGATAGGTTCCATATATGGGTTAGTAGATCAACTATCTCACATTTGAGTGAACTCTCAGATGTATGCCATCAGGACCTGGAGACTTATCAGTTTTTAAATTTCCCCTATAGATCTAGAACTTACTCCCTCATCACCTTAATTTGACTAAGTTCTTCAGAATCTTTTCCTGAAAATAGTGGCTGTGGCGTGAGTACATGCCCCACACTTTCCACAGTGAAAACAGACACAAAAAAATTAATTGACCTTCTCTACCATCTCCCCAACTTTCTTTAGCAATCCTTTTTTTCCTTGGTCATCCAAGGGCCCAACTGCTTCTCTGGCTGGTTTCCTGCTCTGAATATATTTAAAGAAATGTTTATTGTTTGTCTTGATGCATTTAACAACCTGCTCCTCAAATTCACTTTTTGCATGCCTGATTGACTTGCATTTCTTTTGCCAGAGCCTGTAGTCCTTTTTGTTCAATTCATTGGGGCAACCACTTTTTAAAAGAAGCCTCTTTACTTTTTATAGCTCCCTTGACTTGCGTTGTTAACCATGCAGGCATTCTTTTAGACTTGGCAGTGCCTTTCCTAACCTATGGAGTGCATTCTATCTGGGCTTCGTGTGGTTTTAAATAGGGACCTGGCTCTTTTGTGTTTCCCTTTTAGATTCCTTTTAACTTTATTATACGTAGCTCAGTTAAATATTTCCCTTTTTAACTCAGGTTTCTACAAGCTTTTTCCTCTTGTATTCTTATAATACTCTAACAGTATTAGATTTTTACTCTCTGTAGTTGCTAATATGCCCCCTAAAGTATTTTACTTTCTCCTTTTAATCTTAATGCCTTTCACAACACTAATATGGGATTCTAATTAGAAGACTGCTTCTCAGACTTTGTAGACTGACCACAACTGACAGTTAGCTGCTGACTGAACACTCTGCCTTCTCTCCACCCATACACTCTCAATTAGCAACCAATCACCTCACTCACTCATCTTCCTCTTTCACCCCCCTTGTTCTTCTGAAACTTACCAACCATTTAAAGAAACACACATTTATAACTTGAAATCATTACATAGATGAATAATCGCCTCTTTCAGTGGCTGAGGGAAGGTGTCTTGGGTTAGCAACTGATTTATAATAGATGCTAAGGATTTACTGATGTGACCTTGCATGATTTTATTAGCCAGGATGGGCAAGGATCCATGGTACAAGTAGTGGCCTTCACAGATCCTAGTGTCTTGTCCACATCATTCATGGAAACTGGGTCAAAATGATCCATAAATAACCCAGGCAATTTATTAGGCCTTTCTTCAGATATACATCCAGATCAGAGCGTTATCCCCGTATTTTATCAGCAAAAAACTTGGCAAAAGTGTCACAGATAATTGTCTGTTTCTAGGACATCAGGGGCTCAGATTTAGGCATCAGCAATTGCTGAGCTACCTTGAACAATTGGGATGAATGTGAACTACCTGATGCTATAATAAGTAGAGAAGTAACCATTCTTTGCTGCCGTCACTGCCACTTCATAGGTATTACAATGAGCTCTGTAACAAGATCTGTCAGATTCAGTAAGAGTTCTCTGTCAGATTCAGTCAAGAGTTCTAGATTCCCAGCCCTTTTCAGATCACCCAGCTTTGTGGTAAACCAGGGGGCTGGGTTCCATCCCACAGGTGGGAGAGATTGGTGAGGGGCAGCCTTGTTGATTACTTCAAGGAGCTTCACATTCCATGTTTCCACTGCAGCATCCACAGAACACATGTTTGGAATCCAAAAATCCCCCAGGGTGTTTTGGAATCCAGTAGGATTTATGAGCCTCTGTGGGCAGACCATTTTAACTGGGCCCCTTTTCATGCAGAGTGTCAGGTAGTGGTCAGACTATGGTTCAAAATGAATCTCCAGTAATTCTGAAACCAAACCATCTCTCAAAGACTTGCTGCAAAAGATTAAGTCCAGGGTGTGACCTCTTTCATGTGTTGGGTCAGTCTCAATTTAGGAGAGGCCCAAGGCAATCAAAGAAGCTATACAATTTTGGGCCAGTCCTGATGAGGTATGACATTCCCCAGAAGTTCCCCAGAACAATCAACTAGGAGTCTCTAGCACCACATCCAACAATACCTCTGCCAATACATAGGGTGCCCACTGGGGAGCTTGGTGACCAGTAGATAAGAAAAATGTCTAATCTATCCTTAGAAAAGAGTAAGACTCCTTAAAGTACCTTAAAGACTAACAACATTTGTGGTAGGGTATGAGCTTTCGTGAGTCACTGTTCTGAAGAAGTGAGCAGTGACTCACAAAAACTCATACCCTACCACAAATGTTGTTAGTCTTTAAAGTGTTACTGGACTCTTTTTTCCTACTGCTACAGACAGACTAACACAGCTACCCATCTTGATCTAATCTGTCCTTAGTCCATAATGTAAGGAACATAAGTAAATGCCAGTGATAATTTGCACGGGAAGTCTGTAAAAGTTGAAGGATTCATGGAGGATAATAGCAACTCCTCCACGTGGCCAGTTGTGCAGGGTTGGTGGTGGACTGCATAAGCAGGGGGTATTAATTGGGACAGACACACCACATCATGTTTCTGTTATGCACGCTAGATCAGTTTCTTCTTCCTGCAGTATCTCATAAAGGTGTGCAGTTTTATGCATCAATGATCTGATGTTGCACAATATTAGTGTAGATGAGAGGAAAATAGGGGTCCTTGTTTCATCAACTCTTGGGATGCTTTGGAGGTTAGACAGGCAGTGCATATCTTTGCCAAACACTGACTATCTTTGATAAATCCCACCCTGATATCTACCAGTTCCCATTTGCACTTAAGTAGTCCATTCCTCAAACATCCTGTTCCAGATGAAGATTATTCACAACTGCTACTAATAAATCTCCCAAATACCTCACTATCAATATTCTAGTGTCCACAGAGAAACCACAGAACAGTCCAGGGTATAGTCATGAATGATGTGCTGAGGTTAGAGACATCTAATAGGTGTTGTTCTATGTCAATATGGGTCCTGGGTTCCAGGTAAGTAACCAATGTATCTCTCCAGTAGTGGGGGATCTTCTTCCACCTAAGATATGTGTATGCACACAAAAGCAACAACTCAGTGGTTTATGAATAAGTGAATAATACATTATTTTATTGTAAACTTATTTGCAAAGCTTAACTAGCTTGAAGCATATATTTAGTGTACAGTAATTTAGAATAGACAACAATGGCTGTTGGGTTTTTAAAATCCTATAAAATATTGATTCTGTTTTTCTTAGAACAAAAAGGTAGTTCTAGTGGCCTATAGATGTCCTTATTTATTTATTTATTTATCATTTGATAAATCCTTGCATGTGAATTGATATGAATGTCATTTTTCATACAAGCAGTCAAGTATTTGTAAGTTCTAAGCAAGTACCTGTATCAATTGAGAAGATGAAGAACTAAGACAGCTCTTTTTTATTTTTAGGGCCCCAGAGGTGATAAAGGATCCAGAGGTGAAATTGTAAGTCAAAAGAGCATTCATACTTTCATTAAAATGGTTTAAGGGTGCTTAGCACTTGAGGAGTTTTTGGGCTCTAGAGTAGGGGTGTGCATTCAGCTATATCCAAGCCAAAAAAAAATAACTACTATTCTTTCATCCGAATATGCATTTGAGTATTTTTTTAGTATTGCGGGGACATCCGAAATAGCCGAGCCCCAACAATATTCAAGATTTTTCAGGACCACCAAATAGTCAAAGTTAAAGGGCATTTAAAGGAATCACAGTCCCTTTAAATGCCTTCTGGGTGCACTCGCAGCTTGGAGAAGGTGTTTAAAGGGACAGCAAGTCCTTTAAATGCCTTTTTCCCCATTGAAAACAATGGAGGATGGGGGTACCTTCTTTGGGGGTCAATAAAATTAGACCCCCTGGTCCAGTCTTTTTGAAATTGGGGGGGGGGGAGGTTGAAGAGAGGAACCAGCAGCTATGCTGCAGATTTGGTTCTCTACCTCAAAAAACACCCCCCAGACTCCCAGATACCCCTGGATGGCTTCCCCATTATACCCTATGGGGACCATTCAAAATATCCTGAATCTGAATACCATACATTTATTTTTTACATCCCTACTACATACTGACTACCATTGTTCCAAATTGTTTGATGTTGGCCTTGATCATAGACGGGGCTGGTAGGCTGTCATCAGGGCAAATTGTCTACCTTTTGATTCAGTCACTATTGCTTCACTAGAGCACACACGCACACAGAATGTTTGTCTGATTTCTGGTTCACACTCTGCCCTTTACAAACATTTTACTTAATCCTTGTTATGAAAGGTTATCAGCAATATTTTTTTTGCTCTGTGCATTTGTGCAACTGGGCACTTCAAAGAAAGCTCAGCATTGTGATTTCACCAGCTGCTGATGTTAGAGGTAAGAGTGAGCAAATTCCTTTAACCAGAAATAGTTTAGAATGCCATTTATATTTATTTATTTTCTTCATTTGTATCCTGCCTTTCTCCCCAATGAGTACCCAAAGTGGCTTACATCGTTCTCCTCTCCTCCATTTTATCCTTGCCACAACTCTGTGAGGTAGGTAAGGCTGAGAATCAGGGACTGGTCTAAGGACACCTAGCAAGCTTGCATGGCAGAGCAGAGATATGAACCTGGGTCTTCCAGATCCTAGCCTGACACTCTTAACCACTATATCACACTGGCTCTCCATTATCACATCATCTTACATACCAGTTCCTTGGGGATATCTATGCCACAGATTTAAAAAGGGTTAATAATGTTTTTCTGTTCCCAAGGAACCCTGACTAATACAGTTCTGTGAAGTGTCTGTGTACATACTGGGAATCTCTAATGAAGCATTTTGAGTATGCTCACCAAACCCACAATTTCCAGTCTGATAATTCTTTCCCTTCCCAGCTTAGCTTGGGGGGGGGGGGGCTTCAAGGGACCAAAAGTGGTGAGAGGCAAGAAATACAGACTTTACTCCACTATTTTGAATGCAGAGCTTAGCTCTCTCCCCTTCCATGTATTGGCTCTGGGTGGACTGTCCATATGGATGCTGGGCCCATAGTTCTTCCTTTGAGGAGGTTTTCATTTGATCCTGCACAAAGGGGAAAGACCCATGAGGCTTGTGATGCTCACATTGATCATGATGTCATATGGAAGATCCCATTACATTACATTTGGTGGCCTCCTGCGTTCCATGTGGAAAAAATCCCTGTGTATAAGCAGCCTAACTGCCTTAATTAAGAAGATTTTTAAAGCAAAATTTTAACATCTTTGATTCTGTAACACTATTACTTTGCACATACATGAGGAGCAGCTAAAAGAAAAGTTGGAGGCTATTATCCTGTTCATACATTACAAATATCCCTTGAACATGAACCTGGTTAAGACCTCTCCTGGCCCCTCCCTTCTCCTGTCACACAGTACACAGACTTCAACCAGCTACAAATTAGTGTGAAGTCCAGTTGCAGGTGCCTAAACTAACTGATTTCAAGTGCCTTCCTACTAAATGGGATTACTAAACACAGTTGAGTCGTGGTTATGATGACCAGGAAAAAAAGTATCCCAAGTATGGCCCAGGAGGTGTTTAGGTTAACCTGGGCATTCAGACATCACAGCTAATTAGATTTGGTTGAAGATTTTGGTCTTCAGTCTTTGCACTGTGTTAGGTGAGGAGGAGGCAGAGGAAGAAACAACACCATCACAAACAATCTAATATTGTGTTTAATTTATCTGAATGTACCTTATGGTGTGACTGATGTTTAACCTCAATCCACAGCTTGTTCTTAAAATACTGGTTTGGGATAATCCTTGAGGTTTTCAGGGAAAATAAAATTCCTATACAAGAATTTGTATAGGATTTGTTCTTTTCTCTGCAAACCAGGATTCCTAGCTCTGGTTTAATTCTAAATTGAGAATTTATAAGAGAATAAGCCATAATTTGTTATTTGGCTGTATTATCAAACCTGCATGGAAGGAAGGGAGGGGAGTCTGCAGCCTGAGGATCCCACAGGTGGGTTCCTATAATGGCAAACTATGTCAAGATCCATTGATCTTCAGCTGTGTTTATGAGCACAAATTAACATGTCTATACTGTTGAAAAGTTTACAGGTAACTTGTTTTATACTTAAAATGGCTAGCACCACCCATCCTAATTCTTACATCACGTTCAGAACAGAAATAAAGAATGGGTCTGGCCAAATTGTGCAAACCACTCAAGCTCCTTTAGGCTTAGGCACTATTGCAGGAGTTTTTTGGACATGCGTTTCAGATCATGGTACAGATGCCTTAGAACAACAAAGTACTTCAGGACAAGCTTGATTTTAAAAAATTCATTAAAATCATTTAAAAAAATACTGTGACATAAACAGCCAGCTTCCAGTCAATGGGCTTTTTCCACGGAATTTCAGTGGAAAATGAGCATCTGTGGGCCTTTGAAATTTTGCCTTTGAAATTCTGCATGATTGGCAGTAAGTAATTTCCTTCCGTCGTGAATGCACTGTATGAGACATATGTCAGAAGAAAAGTATAGAACCTGTTGGCAGCACAAAACCATTAGCTTAGTCTCCATAGCCAGGAAAGTATTTTAGTCCCAACAATTTTCACAAATGACAGAGATCCAATAATTTTCATTCCATTCTGAATTTATTATTTGGAGGAGAGGAAAGCTGTTGGTATTCCTCCTAGATTCTCAGTGACTTTTAAGCAGTAGTATGGTTTCTGATTAAGACATTTTAAAGAAATAAGATGCATACATTTGAAGAATAAATACATTTGAAGAAATAATAAATTTATCATTTTCTATGAATGAAAACATATCAAAGTAGATTATGTTTCATGGGAAGGATTTTTTTTCTTGTATAGGAGAATGTATACAAAGGGGTTGTGCATTTCAGAACAGCACTATTGTATTGCTCTAAAGCCCAGTTCAGAGACACTCCAACAATAGATGCCCCATTCATGTTTTGAAAAGCCAGTTAAGGAAATAGTCAGAAATGGCAATATTTCCTTTGTGAACCTGGGGAGGATAGAAACAAATATAAAGTACAATGGTAGTCCCAGAAGTTTTGCAAGAGGAGCATCTCAGACCTGGGCATGACATTTTCAGTGTTGTAAAGAAATACTCAGAGCCATTTTGTGGCTGCCTCTTCTATTGTTGTTGTTCAGTCGCACAGTCGAGTCCAACTCTTTGCGACCCCATGGACCAGATCACGCCAGACCTTCCTGTCTTCCGCCGTCCTCTGAAATTGGCTCAATTTCATGCTCATTGCATCTATGACACTGTCTAACCATCTCATCCTTTGCCGTCCCCGTCTTCTTTGACCTTCAATCTTTCCCAGCATCAGGGTCTTCTCCAGTGAGTGCTCCCTTCTCATTTGGTGGCCAAAGTATTTGAGCTTCAGTTTCATTATCTGGCCTTCCAGGGAACAGTCAGGGTTGATTTCTTTTAGGATTGACTGATTTGATCTTCTTGCAGTCCAAGGGACTCTCAAGAGTCTTCTCCAGCACCATAGTTCAAAAGAATCTATTCTTCGGCGCTCGGCCTTCCTTATAGTCCAACTCTTGCAGCCATACGTGACTACTGGGAATACCATTGCTTTGACCATGCGGACTTTTGTTGGCAGGGTGATGTCTCTACTTTTTATCATGCTGTTTGTGTTCGCCATCACTTTCCTCCCAAGGAGCAGGCGCCTTTTAATTTCATGGCTGCTGTCACAGTCTGCGGTGATCTGGGATCCCAGGAATGTGAAGTCTGTCACTACTTCCACGACTTCCCCTTCTATTTGCCAAGGAGTGATGGAGCTGGATGCCATGATCTTAGGTTTTTTGGTGTTGAGCTTCAATCCCACTTTTGCACTCTCCTCTTTTACCGTAAGCAAGAGGCTTTTAAGGTCCTCTTCATTTTCTGCCATTAGAGTGGTATCGTCTGCCTCTTGTATAGCCTTTTTCAAAATGCAGGTATGAAAATTTTCCATTTGAAGCAGCCTTTCAGCACATATAAATAACCATATTGTGTGCATTGATCTGAGTTGCTAATAAGAATATGTAATTTCAAGTCTTATATGGCATTCTGGATTTCAGAAGCTCATAGCTACATCAGATCCATATATTCACTGTTGATATAATACATTTATGTATTATGTGTAGGTGCTGGAATGACTGCCTCATCTACAATTTGAAGTCTGAAATGACATTAAATTTGAAAATAAATAATGTGGTCTTCATAGTTTTTCAGCAAGTTATCAAGCAGGCTATCGCCAAGGTGGATTTTTTAAAATAAAAACAGCAAAGCATTGCTTTTAAAGGAAAACAATCTAAAATGCTACTGAAATTATTTATTAAAACATTGGCATTTCACTTTTCCCTATGGCTCAAGATGGCTAACACATCACAGTTAAAACATTATACTTTAAGACCAGTAGATTAGAACCCCAGATACCCTCCTACTCCAAAAGATGTTTGCAGTTTAGACCCGATTAAATGCCCTAGTGGATAAAAGGGGGTTGCAGCACCTCCTGAAATCTTTAAAATTGTTCTCCTCACCTCATCAGGTTGCTCAGGAAGAGTAGAAACTACAGTGGAAATTTATTTATTTGTTTGTTTGTTAAACTTTTATCCTGCCCTCCCGGCCGGGGCCGGCTCAGGGCGGCTTACAACAGAGAAAATTCCAAAATACATATAGATAATAAATACAACATTAAAATACTATGTTAAAACCAAATATAATAATAAAGTGCTAGTCTTATGCGTCGGTACCGTTGGTCTGCATTGGATGTCATAAGAAGATAATGCAGATGTCATAAGGGGGGGGGGAATCGGCTCGGGCAGTTATTAGGGGTCCAGTGGATCAGGGCTCTTCGCCATACAATGTCAGTTGACATTCCCAGTGGTAATAGCAGTGGGGGTGAGGGTGGCAGCTCCAAAAGCCTGGCAGAAGAGCTCCCTTTTACAGGCCCTGTGGAACTGTAAGAGGTCCTGTAGGGCCCTGGTCTCCTCTGGGAGTTCATTCCACCAGAGTGGAGACGCCACCGAAAAAGCCCTGGCTATTGCCAGCCTGGCCTCCTTGATGCTCGGACCAGTTGATTCTGGATCCCTGATCACAGTGCTCTCTGGGAAAAGGAGCAACCGCTTGTTGATGCCTGGTGAGCCATCTTGAGCGAGAGAGCAGCCAGTAGGTAGCAGCCTGAAGGCCATAGTTAGCACGCAGGGACATATGTTAGAAGACAGTCCTTTAGATATGTTGGTCTTGGGTACCGAAGGGATTTAAAGGCCATAACAACCCCTTGAATTTTACTTGGACACAAACTAGACGATATAAGGCCCCAGGAAGGGATGTTGTCCTTCTCCCAAGAGCTGGGTGGCAGAGAGGCTGCTATCAGCAGATTATCCCTATCCCAAGAAGAGCAGAACTGACCCTGGAAGGGCCAGTTATGGAGGTATGGCTAGGGACCAGTGAGGTAGCCATATTACAAAGGCTTTGTTAGTTTCTTGCTGGCTCCTTTGACTATCAGTTTTGCCCTGCTTGTTGGGTACATCTGTTGTTGTTGTTCAGTCGCACAGTCGAGTCCGACTTTTTGCAACCCTATGGACCACATCATGCCAGGCCGTTCTGTCTTCCACCATCCTCCGGAGTTTGCTTAATTTCATGTTCGTTGCATCGATAACACTGTCTAACCATCTCATCCTTTGCCGTCCCCTTCTTCTTTTACTTTCAATCTTTCCCAGCATCAGGGTCTTCTCCAGGGTCTTCTCCTTCTCATTTGGTGGCCAAAGTAATTGAGCTTCAGCTTCAGTATCTGGCCTTCCAGGGAACAGTCAAGGTTGATTTCTTTTAGAATTGACTGATTTGATCTCCTTGCAGTCCAGGGGACTCTCGAGAGTCTTCTCCAGCACCATAATTCAAAAGCATCTATTCTTCAGCACTTAGCCTTCCTTATGGTCCAGCTCTCGCAGCCATACAGTACTACTGGGAATACAATCGCTTTGACCATACGGACTTTTGTTGGCAGGGTGATGTATCATACCCAGTGTTAAATCTTCTGTCCGTTTACAGTGTTTCTTCTTCATCTGTTTGATTATTGCCATGTTTTGTTTAATAAACCAGTTGTTCACTCTTGGCTGTGTCTTCATTCATTGAGGCTGATCTTATGCCAGGCAACACCCCACCAGTAGAAGGGTGCTGCTCAGAAGGATATGGGGCGAGGGGTGCTCTGTGCCCACCCTATTTTGGATCCCAGTGGACCAGAGTGCTGGCAGCTGAGAAAGCCCTTGACTGCTCCAGGGTTGTAAGGAGCAGGAGGGAACAACCCCCTCTCCCACAGCCCCCACTTTCCTCAACATCATCATAAGCATACGTTGATTTACAGTATATATTTTTATTTTACTTCATCTATTTAACCTCCTTTAACTGTTCTTAAGTTACCCCTTGCACTTTTTTAATATCCTGTCATGCTCACTTATAGTACGTAAAGGTGCTTTTTTTCCCTTTGGGGATTACTGAATGATAGTGATCTTTAAAAGTCTGCCTGAACTGATGAAGAAACTTGGTTGGAAAGAGCTTCTCATGTTCTTTTTTTTTAATGTGAACTGTCATATCACAAATAGGCAGAGCCAATCCTATGGTCCTCCTGCACCACCAGCCCAGTATTGATGGCCTAATGCAGCCATAGTGTAATTAGTACTCTACAACAGAGAAGCTGAAAAAGTCTTCAGGCATTGCTTTGAATAACAGAGGATTTATTAACATCTCCAGAGTCTACTAATCATGGTGGCAGCATAACAACACTCACACAGTAGCCACATATGGGAGGAACCGGTCTACACATAGAATACCTCCATGACTTCATCCTACATTACCCCCCCCCCCCCCCCAGGCAATACAGTGCCCTCAACAATGTGAACAAGTGGGATGTACATAGCAGGAGCTTGTACATAATGTCATGTAAACTTTTAAGGTAATGTAAATCATCCTGGAGATCTGTTTCAAGGTGGGAGGACAGTATATAAATATGCTTATGGTAATTGACACCTTCCAAGGATATCTTTAGATATGACTCCTTTTATCCTGCAAATTGCAATTCGTTTGGCAGGACAGCATGCACAGAAAGAAGGAAGAGGAGGCATTCCAAACACACCAGCCAATTATGGAATTTGGAATGTTTGTCAGTTGAGAGCTTTAGTCCAAACAGTAAACTAAATTCCAAATCAGTATGTGAGAATCTTAATAAAAAAGAGTGTTCAGGATTTCCAGTATTCTGTGTACGCTTGACCTTTAAGCCATAACCAAGGTAGATTGTCAGAGTTTGTGCCCCAGAGCATACACTTAGTGGGAGCACAGCTTCCATGAAGCTGTAACTGCCCCTTCTTGGGCAGCTATAGGCATCTATGTGCCATGATCTTCCTTCCTATCAATTCTTCACCTCACGCTTTGGGCAAGGGGGAGCCAGTCACCCTCAAGGGAATGCAGTGTCTTCTGGAGGATGGTGGTGGTGGTATAGGAAATAAAACCCAATGAGGTGCTGCAAGGAGATAAGAGTAAATGAGCAGCAGCATTTCTCCCTCCATGTCCAAAATAGCTGAAGGATGGAAGCAACTTTGTCTGTAGCAACTTTTGGATTAAGTGACAATGGCAGCTACAGGAAGGCTTCTTTCCACATGATATTTCTTTAAGATTCAAACTATGAACACCAATGTATCCGAGAAAATGACACCCTGTTACATAACAGGAGTGGAAATTTTCCTTATTAAAAGGGATCAAGGTGAGATTCATTCCTAGGCAAACATTTCCCAGTATGAACCTGGGGAAATAACTGCTTCTCTGTCTGCATGCTTGTTCAGTATTCTAAAATAGACTTAAGGCTAATATTTGCATAGTTTATAAATAAATTATAATATAATACAAAATAGTTAATATTTTAATCAATTGTTATATATTAATAGATGGGCCACTGGGAAATTACACAAACTGTGGCTGTAGTTAATTACTTCTAAATACTACTCTATAGAGCTGTCTGGATCAACAGAGCACATCAGTATTCAATCCTAATGAGCAGGCACCTTTTGTCAAGAAATCTTCTCACTTTTTAAAAAGCACATAACAAGCACTTTCAGGGATGCTCAAATGGTCTTTAGCTACAGTGAGAAATCTTTGTGCAGGTCAAAACTAGTAGACAATAGCCCTTGCCATTCTGGTCTTTTTTGCAGCTAATTTAATAAATAAATTACATTTTTCTACTTCTTTTTGTAAACTACATTTCATTGCAATGTGGAATATGGATCTTTAAATATGTGTGTATTATCTTTTTTTACTTAGGGTCCTCAAGGACCAAGAGGTCATCCAGGTCTACCTGTAAGTAAATAACAAGTAGTTTCAATATAAATATGACTGTATAAATAATATGAAATCTGTCTTATTTCTTTTTTCTTGCTATTTTCTAGGGTCCACCTGGAGCACCAGGTTTAAGAGTAAGTGACATATGTCTCTTGTGATGATGGGTATTGTTAGATACAGAGCTGGGACTCAGTCTTCTGAGATCTTCAACTACAGAGTTTTCCTTAAAAATGTACTTGAGTTGACCAAGAGTGTTGTTACCAAGCTCCTATCCATTTCAGCAGAGGGTGTACAGGGGGAAATGCTGAAGAACTGTGCCCACTACCTCAGCTAGGCATGCCAACATCCCTGGAGAAAATTGTCCTGGCCCTTTAACAGAGGCTTAATTGGCTATTATTTATCAGGTGATGTTATTTACCTCCATGCCATGAAAAACGTTTAACTGATCATTTCTATACATTAAGTGTCTGTTAAAGGGACAAGACACTTTTCTCCAGGCCTGTTGGGAACCATATACCCAATTGACTCAAAGTTTCAATGCTTAAAGTCTCTGATATTTTGTCTATTTTCTTGTTAAATTTACATATTTTAAATCTCTCTGTGTGTATTTGTGTGTTTATACACACACATATAAAAATTATGGCAGTGACATTTTAAAACCATAACACATATAGACATCCGCTAAGTAGAAATAATTCTTTGTGTCAGTCTCTTCAAATATAGATACCCTTAGGAACATTTTTCCAGCACATTCTTCTCCCACCTGAAGCTTTAAGTGTTTTCAAGTTAGCACTTCTTTTCTAGAACAATTACCTTTCATTATTTCAACTTGATATAGACCAAGTTAATCCACACCTCACTTCCTGGACATGTGGAGGCAGAGCCTGGGGATGGTGGCATTTGGGGAGGAGGGAGACAGTGGGATATAATGCCATAGAGTCCCCTGTCCAAAGCAGCCATTTTCTGCAGGGGAACTGATCTCATTAGTCTGGAGATCAGTTGTAATTCCAGGAGATCTCCAGGCTCCACCTAGAGGCCAGCAACCCTTTACGATAATTTTCCTGGATAGGGATGGGCATGAACCACATTTTTGTGGTGTGGTTTGTGGCTGAACCACAAACTGAACCATGAACCCATACGAACGAGGAAGATGGTTTGCAAACTGACCTGGTTTGTATCGGATCGTGAGCCATTTAAAGTTTAATCCCGTTCTAGCCCTGACATGGATAGCCCAGGCAAGCCCAATCTCGTCAGATCTCAGAAGCTAAGCAGGGTCTACTCTGGCAAGTACTTGGATAGGAGACCTCCGTGAAATACCAGAGGTGGGAGGTGGGGGCAGGCTTTATTCAGCTACTTCTCTGAATATCCTCCAGGCCCCCAGTAGGAGTCAGTCACCAGAGGTCATCATGACTTCCAGGTGCACACACACTCACATGCACACACACACACACATATAAAAATACCCAAAAATGTTTAAACCCTTCTTTCTGCTCCCCACTGCTTTTCACAGGGAGCAGAAAGCAGAATTTTAAATGGCGCCCAGCCATTTCCCCTTGCATTCTGCTCCCCACAGCTTTTTGCGGGGATCAGAAAGCTGTGGTTTAAATGGCTCCCAAACAGCAGTTTTTTGTGAAGAGCAAAAAGCAGGGATTTAAATGACCATGAATGGCATCAAAATTTGTGAAAGTTCATGGTGGTTCTTCAGTTCATGAACATTGCTTCATGCACCACAAACTAGCCAAACTTCGTGTCCATCCCTATTCTTGGAAACCCTTGATAAAGTTTGTCACTTCTAAAAGGCTCCCTCCCTCCTGTTTGTAACATTTTGTTCATAATCAGTATCTAATCTCACCTTTATTACCACCAACGTAACTATTAATGTGTAACATACTTTATGCATGGTCCTCTGCATTACAAGACATGAGTGAACACTGATTAGTTCTGAATAGAAGTGACACTCATAGGTGTCACAGAATAACCTTACCTATATATTACCTGAAATGTATAGGGAAAGGTGGCATTCTCTGATGGCTCCCTTGCTCGAGAGTCCTCTACAATTAACAACTCCCATTATTTGGTTATAATACTGTAATTCTGTAGAAACCTTTGGAAAATGTACAATATATTTTTGAGGTGCCATTTGTTGATTATGCTGCTAATAATTTTTTTTAATTATGTACAGAGGCAAATTGATATCAATGCTGCTATTCAAAGCTTGATTGAAACAAATGCCGCATTGCAGATGGAGGTACTAGCACATTATCTATATTTTTCATTAAAGTTTCAAAGACAAACAGTGCTTGTCCACAAAGGTTTTGTTTACCACACACCTACACATTTTGTATGTATTTGAGTATTTTACCCCATTTGTCTCCCCAATGAAGAACCAAAGGGGCTTACAAAATGCAATTTAAACAAATGCAATCAACTCCCCTCTCCAAAATAAAAACTTAGGAGTAAACTGCTTGGCACGATAAATGGTACTTGAATTATTTAGTATACAATTTGGTAAAATTTGTTGATATCTTAAAGTGTTAGTAGACTGGGCTACCCAATTAAGGCCCATTATGCATGGGTGTTTTGCCTCGCTTTCACCGTGCATGCCCGTCAGGTTTTCTTTTTCGTTCTGCATTGATTTCTCACCCTTCAGCGCTCAGTTTTCTTTCCAAACACCGTCTCTCTGGGTTTTCTGAAGGTGGTTTTGTGCCAATTTTCCCCTTGTTTTGCTTCTGAGCCAAAGGTAATTCAAAAGCATGCAGATTCCCTCAAATTCCCCCCCAAGCCCCTTTGCTGCCACTCCCCACCCACATCAAGGTTGTTCGGCCCAGTATGTACCTTCTGCCATTCATCAGTGTGTCCCTTATTGTTTTACTTTTTTTTTTTACAAGTGGCATGAGTCTAGCGATATGAGACTATCACTACCATGTTTCCCTGAAAATAAGACACTGTCTTATATTTATTTTTTCTCAAGACGACACACTAGGGTTTATACCACAAATGTATAGAAATCCTGCTAGGGCTTATTTTGGGGGTAGGTCTTATTTTCGGGGAAACAGGGTAGTCCCATGCCGCTTGTAAAAAATATGAAATGGCTCATGGTTGGGCTGTCTTCTCTCGCTGCCCAGTTTCAACCAGACAGTGGCAGAGCCATGCATATGAGGAGCCATCAGCTCCCCGCATGCACAGCAATCCCAGCTGGGCTGCCCTCCCTTGCTGCCTGGTTTCAACCAGGTGGCAGGAGAAGGTAGCGCAGAGCCATGTGTGCAAGGACCCATTGGGTCCCCGCATGCACAGCAATCCCAGCTGGGCTGCCCTCTCTCACTGCCTTGTTGAAACCAGGCAGCAGAAGGCAGCGCAGAGCCGTGGGTGTGAGGAGCCATCAGCTCCCTGCATGCACAGCAATCCTGGCTGGGCTGCCCTCTCCCACCATCCGGTTTCAACCAGACGGCAAGAGAAGGCAGCACAGTGGCTGAGCTCCCAAATAAATAGAAAAAGAATGGTGCGTACTGCAGGCACAGAATCTGAATTCAAGTTTAAATGCTTGACTGCTCGGATTCTCTGCAGTAAGCTCTGCGTGCATAAGAGGCCTAAATTTCAGTTATGCATATGAATCTTGGAGGCTGTTGACCTAAATACTAAATATGTTATGCAACACCAGCCAATTTGAAACATGCATTAAAACACCAAGCATTGTTTTGTTTGTGGGGTTGAAGCCTAAGAGAAGTACTCAAAGTGCAAAGCACAGTTGATAACATTACTAACTGTTTTCACATTACTTTAATCCATAATTGGGGGTTACTTTCCTTAATCTAACAAATGCATTAGTGTCACTCAGATGTTGGGCTCAAAGGAGCCCTTCTATTGCAAGGATATCACTTTTTGTTAGCAATCAAACAACAATATTTTATCAGTGGAAAATGTTATTCTAATCTACAACAAATATGTCTGTTGCCTTTGTGGTGTTGTATAGAATATAATTGTTCAAGTGTCACAAGCCCCTGCTAGTTAGCACTTGTCATCATTAATGATGCAGCTCCTCTAGCTCTGCCTGAGCCATTTTGTTAACTTCTTAGTTTTCTTTAGCTATTTAAGTTACTAATAGATAGCAGCAGTGCCATCCATTTTCCTGCTTCCTCCCTGACTTCTCCACCACACCAAATGTGGGAATTAATATAATTGCCTTTGAATTGGGACTTAATAGTAGTATCTCAAAGACTAAAGTAGAACTGAAGCACAATGAGATAATTCAGAAAGGCCTGTCATATATCTCTTGTGGAGGCACCTTTTTATTTTATCTTTTCTGTATATTGAAAATAATTATTGGCATTTAGAAAATTCTGTTCCTTAACATTAAACATATAAAATTTTTGCTTTCATTCTTTCTCATAATTCTGTTAGCTTTTGAGAATCCTGTTCGGTACATTATACATCAGCTAGCTGACACAAGTTCCTTTAGCAACTATTTATTTATTTATTTATTTATTATTAGATTTATAGCCCGCCCTCCCCACAAGTGGGCTCTGGGCGGCTCACAGATAGGGCATATATGCCAATAGTTAAGACAATTAAAAACAAAATAAAACAATCCATCAATTACAACAATACAAAGTGCTCAAGATGTTTCAGGAAAGTCTTCAGCAACAAGATGGCTTCCTGGGGATAGCAGTCCCATTTCAGTGGTATCAGATCCACGCAGCACTGTAGTACATTTAACACAGGGCCATCTCACCCCCTGCTGTTACCCAACTCAATTGGTGGTGGAGGTAGTGGTAGACGTAATGGCAGCTCCTACCCGAAAGCCTGGCGGAAGAGCTCCGTCTTGCAGGCCCTGCGGAACTGTGCAAGGTCCTGCAGGGCCTGGATCTCCTCCGGGAGCTTGTTCCACCAGGTAGGAGCCGCCACCGAAAAAGCCCTGGCCCTGGTAGCAGCATACCTGGCATCTTTGGGGCCTGGAATCACCAGCAGATGTTGCGTCCCCAACCGTAGTACCCTTGGGGGAACATATGGGGAAAGGCGGTCCCTTAGGTATGTCGGACCCTGGCCATATAGGGCTTTAAAGGTAAGAACCAGCACTTTGAAGTGAATCCGGTACGCTATTGGCAGCCAGTGCAGCGCTTTCAGCACAGGCCAGATGTGCTTCCGCCTAGGGAGACCCATCAAAAGCCTGGCTGCAGCATTCTGCACTAGCTGCAGCTTCCAGATTTGCGACAAAGGCAGCCCCATGTAGAGAGCATTACAGTAGTCTAACCTCGAGGTGACCGTCGCATGGATCACTGTGGCCAGGTCATCACGGTCGAGGAAGGGAACCAACTGCCAGGCCAGCCGAAGACGGTAGAAGGCCGACTTGGCAGTGGCTGCCACCTGGGCCTCCATAGTTAACGAGGAGTCCAGGAGCACTCCCAAACTCCTAACCTCTGACGCTGGCACCAAAGGCACCCCATCGAAGGTCGGAAGAGGGAGCCCCAACCCCGAACCAGCCCGACTCAGGCCCAGGACCTCCGTCTTCGCCGGGTTTAGTTTCAGCCGACTCAGTCTGAGCCGACCAGCCACATCTTGCAACACCCGGTAAAGATCTTCTGGGCTGGAGTTCGACTGGCCGCCGAGCATCAGATAGAGCTGGGTGTCATCAGCATACTGATGGCACCCAAGCCCATACCTCCGGGCAATCTGGGCAAGGGGGCGCATATAGATGTTAAACAGCATCGGGGCCAGCACCACCCTCTGAGGCACCCCACATTCTAGAGGATGTCTCCGGGACTGCTGTTCCCCTATCGCCACCCTTTGTCCCTGACCTTGGAGAAAAAAGGTAAGCCATTGAAGGGCGAGCCCCTGAATCCCCACGTTGGCAGCAACTGGTGGTCGAACATGCCGAACGTGGCAAACAGATCTAACAACAACAGTGCTGCCACACCGCCTCAATCCAGATGTCTTCTGAGGTCGTTAGCAAGAGCGACCAGCACTGTCTCCATTCCATGTCCCGGGTGGAAACCAGACTGGAAAGGATCTAGGATAGAAGCATCATCCAGAAAGCCCTGTAGCTGTAATGTCACCACCCTCTCGATAAGTTTGCCCAAATAGGGCAAATTGGACACCAGCCAATAGTTGGCCAATTCGGCCAGGTCCAGAGATGTTTTTTTCAAGAGAGGGTGGACCATCGCTTTCTTGAGTGCCCCCGGGAACAGCCCCTCAGAGAGGGACTTGTTGATAATCTCCCTTAGGGCACCACGAAACCCCTCATGACCTGCTTTAATGAGCCAGGAGGGGCACGGATCTAGCTTCCATATTCTGCAGACTATCGACCCAGCCCGTCTTAGCACGCTATCCAATACCATTGCTAAATACACAATCCTAGACGATTTACTACTCCCCTCAGATAACAATTGTGGGATTGGGTTTACAACAAAGATACTCTAATTGACAAATCCCTAATCAGTCAACAGAAATTTGCTCCATGGTATGCAGCATTTAAAACAGACCACTCCAAGGCCTCCTATCTGGCCCTTATTTCAATTTACAGCATAAGAAGGGCTTTTACTGCCCTTTGTTTTCAGACCATGCCATCTGAGCTGCTAAAAGGACGATATCTCAAAACCCCGCACGACCAACGTATCTGTCTGTGTGGGACTTGGTGGAAGATCTAACACGCTACATCTTAGAATGCCCTCTGTATATTGGCCCTAGAATCAAATTCCTTAACCCGGTTCTTACAATCCTACAATCCACATCAGGTACCGATATAGTAACTTTTTTACTTTCGGATGCCAATCCCACCATTTCTTATAGAATGGCACTATATGCTGCAAGGAAAATAAGAGATAGGGCTACGGATTGACAGCACTTTTAGAATATATTATTGAGTAACTTGATCTTATACTTTTACTTCATTTATATATTTTATATTGTGTTGCCAACACTTGTACTGTTTTGATCATTTATATTGTGATGGCCAATGGCTATATGCTATAAACTTTTGTACTTGTACACGCCTTCTAATTTGGCTTTTGACATAGCTCCATGTTCCAAGGTACTGGCATTTCTTCATGGTACTGTAACAATAATGGCTTCTTCTTGGCAGAGCTATCAGAACACTGAAGTAACATTTCTGGATCATAGTGCAGAGATATTCAAAACACTACATTATCTTAGCAATTTACTACATACTATCAAGAATCCATTGGGAACTCGAGATAACCCAGCACGTATCTGCAGGGATTTGCTTAACTGTGAACGTAAAGTCTCTGATGGTAAGTTCTCCAGTATCATCAAGAAGTCTGACATGAATCCTGATCCTCAATGTCTTGTTTCAAATATTAACCACTCAAAAGTAATAGATGCTGTTTTGAAAGCAGAACAGGATGGCTTGCGCTGGGAGATGGACAGAGGGAGTACAACTCTGTTGATTCTCCTGGACCTCTCAGTGGCTTTCAATACCATTGATTGTGGTATCTTTTTGGACTGTATTTCCAAGCTGGGGCTGCAGTGGTTCCAGTCCTACCTGGAGGGTAGGTTTCAGAAGGTGGTCTGGGAGACTGCTTCTCAGGCCCTTTGTCTTTGGCTTAGGAGGTCCCACAAAGCTCCATCTTGTCATACTTTTCAGTATCTACATACTACATACTACATGAAACTATTGGGTGAGGTCATCTGGAGATTTGGCCTGGGTTGCCACCAATATGCAGATAACAGTCAGCTCTATCTTGTGTTTCTGGCTGATCCAAGGGAGGCTGGAGAAACCCAAAATCAGTGAACAGAAGGTCTGACCCTGGACCTAAGGTGTCACTCATTCAGGATAGAGTTGTACTCCCCTTAAAGGAACAGGTGTAGTTTGGGGGTGCTCTTGTACCCAAGCCTTCTGCTGGATAAGCAGGTGGCAGCTGTGGCCAGTAGTACATTTTACCAGGTTCGACTGGTTAGCCAGCTGCAGCCTTTCCTGGGCAGAAAAAATCCAGCTACTGTGGTGCCTGCCCTGGTTACATCTAGATTTGATTTCTGCAATGCACTCTGTGTGAGGGTTGCCCTTAAGAAGTGTTTGGAAATTTCAGTTGGCCCTTCAGCCAGGATATTGACAGGGGTGGCTCACAGAGACCATGTCACTCCAGTCTTCGCCACATGTACACTGGCTCCCAGTGGGTGCGTTCAGACGCGGCCTTTCTGCCGGCATAAACTGCACCGGTTGGAACCGGTGCAGTTTATGCCGGCAGAAACGCGATCAGATTCACCCTCCATCTTGCGAATGCCTCTGTTGGACGCCCGCTCACACGCTGCGGGCGTCAGCGGTTTTTTTTTTTTTTTAAGCAGTTTGAGCATTCGCACAGGCAGCCATTCGGAGAATGGCGATTTTTGCGCATGCTCAAACCCCCCCCCCACATTTAAACTTTAAAGGTAAGCACACCTTTAAAGTTTAAACCCCAACCTGGCCTCCCTGTAGTCCCGGACTCCTCCGGGACGGTAAAGTAAGGGCTTTTTTATATATATAAACAAACGCTCAGGGCGAAGGTTCGCCTGAGCGCATATCGCTTAGTTTTTTTAAAAAAAATGGCGGGGGAAAGCCGGAAGCCTCAGGCTTCCAACGGAAGTGGCTAGGCACCGGTGGAGAGCGATCAGACGCCGGTTTGTATCGGAAGCCACCGTTGTACTCTGTTTACCACCACTTCGGACCTAGTGGCAGAGTACAACGGTGTAAAAGGATTTACAATGGTTAGGGACGGGAGGCAGATGTTCGCCGTGTGAACGCCCTTAAGTACACCGGTTGGAACCGGCACCCTAACCGTTGTAAATCCCCCGTCTGAACGCACCCAGTCTGTTTCAAGGCACAATTCAGGGTGCTATTGTTAACCTTTAAAGCCCTATATGGCTTGCGATCAGCATACCTGAAAAACTGCCTACTCCCTTATGAACCTACCAAACTACTATGGTCATCTTCTGCGGCTCTACTTCAGGTGGCCCTGCTGGCTGGTAACACAGGAGAGGGCCTTCTTGGTCATAGCACCAAAACTCTGGAACTTTCTTCCAAGGGAGATTTGTCTGTCCCCTTCTGTTGCCATCTTCCACCAGCAGGCGAAGATTTCTTTGTTTACCTAGCATTTCCATAGTGATCCCTCCTTCCTTCCCTGTGTTTTAATTGCTGTTTTTATGTTTTTGCATGCATTTTAATTGTTTTAATGATGTATTTTGGTTTGGTTTGACTGATTTTTAAGATGTGTTTTTATTATGTATGCTTTTTAATTTGCTAGCTGCCTTGGTGGCCCTGATGAAAGCAGAAACTCAGGGTATAACTTTTGAAAATAAGTAAAATAAAATTTAACTGTAAGTTCTTTTACTCCTTGTAGCCACCTTCAGTTTAAAGTACCCTATAGACCTTTCCAGTGCAATACTCCCTCTAAGCTGTAGAGTCTTGTGAGCAAAAATTCTTCTTTGTGAGTGACTGGCATTAAAGTTGTGAGCGAGCTATTTGGCTACTGCATAAATTAGTTTGCTCTGGAGCCATCCTTCCTGAGCTAAGACAAAAATGTGTGAGCCAGAGGCTAAAAAACTGTACGCTAGCTCACACTAACTCAGTTTAGAGGAGGGGTGACTAAATTGTGGCTCGGGAGCCACATGCGGCTCTTTCACACATATTGTGCGGCTCCCGGCTGGGGAAGTTAAATATCATTAGCAAACAAATATCATTGGATAAATAAATATCATTATCAATATCTGCTTTTACCACTTTTGTTATTATTTTTGGCAGTCTCATTTAATGTTAATAAAAAGCAAATTTGCATATTTCCCAGTAAAAATGTGTAATATTGGTTCATGTCTTGTGGCTCTCAAAAATCAGACATTTATTCTATGTGGCTCTTACGTTAAGCAAGTTTGGCCACCCCTGGCTTAGAGGGAACACTGATCCAATGTAATCTAAACACTAAGAATTTGAGGGGGAAAGGTGTAATAGAATTATTCTGCCTTTACCTTTCTCAACTGATAGGGAAATACTGGATTGATCCAAATATTGGATGTACTTCTGATGCCATTGAAGTTTTCTGCAACTTTACTGCTGGTGGCCAGACATGTTTATCACCTGTATCTGTGACTAAGGTAAATGTTTCACTTTTTTGGACTATTAGGGCCAACCAATATTTACAGTGCATTATATTAACTTATGAGTGCATCAGTTTCATTTTACATTGCACCTGCATGAAACATTAGCCAGACAACTCCATTTCTCTAGCAAGTGCCCTTGTAAGAAGGCATTTTTCTGTGAAGAAAGGATAGGAAAGTGCTTAAACCTTTCCCTGCCAGCTGCAAACTTTTCCCTCTCTTAGCTGCAGATAAATTCTCTTACAAAGGAATTTCAAAGGGAGATTAGAGAGACTGCTGAATTGCAACTGATAATGAAGCTCAAGACAATTCATCCTCCTGGACTGAATTGAGACCTAGGTTTCTTCTCTCATTACCAATGCCTGCTATTGTCATTTGGCGTCTGAAATCACTTCACTCTCCAAAAGATAATGACTGATGAGACTTTCAGGGATGTGCTAGAGGCATCTTGCTTCCATGGGGACATCTCCCCTACTGTCTGGGAGCATAATAGTCTTGGAGTAGAAGACATCAAGATGAGGAAAAGGGAATTATCGCTTACACCAGAGAATTCATTTGTTATGCGGGCAGGATCTGACATAAATATCACTTTGTTGGGCTGGACCATGTGTGCCATAAAATGTAACATAAGGTACCGAAGATATAAACTTTATAAAGATGATTTCAGATTCTGAATAGCAATAGCAAGCCTGACTGGGACTGTGGTCACATGGTCATTTTGATCGGGTTTCACTGCTGTTCTCTCTCATATTTAAAATTGCTGATCAGACACTGCATCCACCTCCCGCACCGAAGTGGGCTCAGTCACGCAATCCTCCCGGTTCCCTAGCAAGTTTTTCGACACCGGGAAAATCAAGTACTTTCTGGGTATTTGCGCTTTGAATCAGCGATTTTGCCAATCTGGACAGCCATCTCTCACAGAATTATTGTGATTAGGTCATCTGACCGTCCTTCGTGCGATGAGGCCCCCCCCCCCCAGCTTCCTCCTTTGAGCGCATGAGTAATCCTGCACTGAAGCGCACATAGATTTCTTCCACTCCTCTCTCCTGCCCCCCCATCAGTTCCTGGGTTTCTTGGTTTCCAGCAAGGCTCCTCTTGCCAACCGGCTTCCTTCTCTTCTGGGTCTGATCCATCACGCACCAGTGTCCACTGCTGCCCCCTTCCCCCCCCCGATCCTGCACACTTCACCAAAAACAAATCTTGCTTTCCCCCCCCCCCCCTTCACGTGGTGCCGGGAAGGGGGCAGAGAAGCCGACTCTTTCTCCTCTTGTCTCCAAAGCTGATCTCCTCCCTCCCCAAATGCCGAGAGGGAACTGTAACTTTTCTCCCCCCCAATTACCGTGGGGGAAGGCAGGTCACTGGGAGACCCAATGTGATCATCAGCGGACTTGGAGCAAAGTGGGAGGGGCTGCAACGCCTCCAAGGAGCATTCTGAAGGTGGGCGGGTGCTTTCATCCGGGTTCTCTTCCCTCACTCCCTGCTGCTGTGTGTGTTCCTTCTTCACCTCGATTGGGCGACAGTAGATGTGCCTCGCTGAGCCCAGAGCCCATCTCCCCAAGCACTGGTTCTTCCAGAGCAGACTGGCGGGGGGGCACACACACTCACAAGTGGGACATCTTTACTGTGACCCCCTCCTCATTGGATAATCAGTGCTATTCTATGGCTGTCCATGGAAGCTCCACTGAGCGTTCACAGCTTACAGTCGCTATCGGGACGGTGCCTGAAGTTTCATTGTATGATCCAAGCGTTTCAGGGAGCGATGTGTGATCATCCCAACCCGCAAAAAAAATCCCCGATCAAAAATATAGTGGGAACAAATTGCTATAGGCTTTCCATGTGACCACAGCCTGGATTAGGTGTGATATGCAGAGGGGTAGTAGGAAAGGAGATATCAGCACTGGTAATGGGACAGGAAACCTGGGTCTTAATTTGGTACAGGAGAATTCAGTCCAGGAGGATGCACAGAATAAATGGAAATAAGTCTGAAGAAGACAGCAGTGACTCACAAAAGCTCATATCCTATCACAATTTTTTTAGTCTTTAAGGTGCTACTGGACCCTTAGGTCGAATCTGCATTTGTCTTTCCCACCGGTGTCCCAGCCTTCTGACACCGTCTTTAAAAAAGCTGTCTACATTTGGTGTTGTTTTCACACCTCAACAGTGCTAGCATACTTTTGCACTTCCGCATATGTTTATTTCCCTTTCGTGGTGGCTCCACTGTCATTGCACTTCTGCACTGCTTTAAAAGAATCTTCTCTGAACAACATTCAAACAAGCATAGAGAAAGACGGCGTCACAGCAGCACAAAATTGATTAAAAAATGCAAATGCAGATTCGACCTTACTCTTTCTACTGCTACTAGAAACCACAACATTCAAAAACCAGAAAGGGAACATTTTGTCCTTCCAGGACATTCCGTTGCTGATCTAAGAGTAGCAGTTCTCTTACAAAGGAATTTCAAAGGGCGATTAGAAAGACTGCTGAATTGCAACTGATAACGAAGTGCAAGACAATGCATTCTCCTGGAATTATTTGAAACCTAGGTTTCTTCTCTCATTACAAATACCTGCTATTGTCATTTGGCATCGAAAATCACTTCCCTCTCCAAGATATAAGGACAGAAGGACTGACATACTAGCTGTATCTGAAGAAGTGAGCAATGATTCATGAAAACTCGTGCCCTGCCACAAATTTTGTTAGTTAAGATGCTACTGGACTTCTGCTCCCTTCCACTAATAAAGAATGCAAGCTGTACTATTAGGTTTCTTCCCCTCCCCATCTGTTAGAATTGGAAAAGGGACCTCTCCAAGTGCCATAGGACTCCATTTCTCTCCCCCCCCCCAAAGAAGTGTGCTTGCACACAAAAGCTTATACCTGAAATAAAACATAGTTGGTCTTAAAACTGCCACAGGACTCCATTTCTCTCTCCCTTTCCTCCTCCTCAGAGGAGGGGGAAGACCCCTCAGCCAATTGAGGGAAGGAAGGTTTGGCTTTCTTTCTCTCCTCTGTGAAGCAGGAAATAGGACAGACTGGGCAAAAGGAGATACAATGCAGGAAATGAGAAGCAGGAACAGGAAGCAGCAGAGAGCCAGTTCCTTGCAGGCCAGATAGCAGCCCTGCAGTAGCCAGATCCAGCCCACAGGCCATATGTTTGACACCCCTGCCTTACATAATACCAGTTCCTCAGATGGTGGACCTTGTTCTGAAGAAAGCTCTCTGGGGGTCACATGAGAGAAGTTCTTGTGTGGGGGAGCCCCTCTCACCATAAACCATGTAAGGAGACTAAAGCAGTGCTGAGGGTGCTTGGAGAAGGAAACAAGGTATTTATGAAAATGCTAGGTGCCTCTGAGATAAATGGGAAAACTGGAATGCTTTGGATATGTCAAGTGAGATAACAGATATAGTGATAACTCAGGACTAAACTAGACAAGATAGCATCCCTGAGTTTTTCCTGAGGACATGCCACCATTTTGAAGAGTTCCCAATGATGGGGGGGGGGGTAGTCAACAGATAACGCCTGGTACCATTTCAGGTTGGAAAAATGTCATGAGTGAAAGACAGGAGCCCCCCCCCCCCCCCCCCCACCACTCCTATCCTAACCAGAATCCAGGCACTTACGGCACTGTTAAATGGAGCTCCTTGGTGGGAACTCTCTCTAAAATATGGCAGGATATCCACAGGGCAAACTTGGGGACACCATCTCATCTAGTTTGACCCTCAGAAACCTGGTGGGACAGGGAAAATCAGTGAGATGCAGCTACGGTGGAACAAACCCTATTGAGGAAAAATCAGCATGGCTTTTACAAAACCCCAACTGTTTGGAGTTCTTTGAGAGGGTTGAGAAACATGTGGAGCAGGGTAACCAAGTAGATATCATATACAAAGATTTCCAAAAGGCTTTTAACGAAGTCCCTTACCAAAGGCTTTTGAGAAAATTTAGCAGTCATGGGATAAGATGGGTCTTGTGTAGATCAGAACCTGGTTTCATGACAAAGCAGTATGGGAATAAAATAGACAGTTAATGTAATGGCTATCAGTCACAGCTACTAAATTGAATCTCTGTGTTCAGAGGTGGTAAACCTCTGAATACCAGTGCTGGGGAGCAACAATAGGGGAAGTTTTGGGCTTTCTATGGCCTGCTTGTAGGTATTCACTGTGTGGGGGAAGATGCTGGACTAGATAGACTTAATCTTTATCCTGCATGACTATTATAACACTCCCCTTATGATTTCCACATTTGTAAAGTAAATACAAATCCAGAACATTCCTCTGTAGCAAAGCACATCTTCTCCATTATGTTTTGTAACACTGGAGCCTTTAAGCTAATATATCATGTAGATGGGATGTAACCTATAGTTTATCCCTGAGTTATATCACTTCTTATCTGGCACAACATCAGGAATAATAGATTGGTTGAATCCAGTGAACCACAAGTGGAGCTTTTCATAAGTAGTCTATAAAATACTAAACCTTAAGACATGTCCTCACCATTTTTACAAAATGTAAAACACAAAAGTTTATGAGGGCTGAGAACACACTAAAATGCAGAAACAGCCTTTTAAACAATTCTACCTTGCACCTTCCAAGAAATGGAATGACACTTCCAAGAGATGACACTTCACAAGCTTCCTTTGCCAGGCTGTTTCACAGTGCTGGTGCTGCCATAGAAAATGCCCTTGTTTTGGCTGAAAGAAATTCTGACCTCCCTTGGGGTTGAAAAAACAATCAATTCCTGCTGTAATGTTAACCTTAACTTCTCCTTGTTTGTAGCAGTCCTAAGACAGGAACGCAAGAAGTTCTTACAGCCTGCCAAACAGGCTGGGTTTTCTCACAGAGCTATGCCAAATAAGCATAAATCCAAATAGGATTGTAGGTTAAAATTTTGTCATGGTCTAAGGTCCTATGTTACATGGAGAACAAAAACTTAGTTTATACAGTGATGGTCGCCTTTCAGTAGTTCCTGTTGTTCAATTTATCACCAGTTTATTCTGGCTTTCAAAGCACTGGAAAAACTGAAAGAACATGGGAGCGGTCTATAAAAGCTGTTATTCCCTGGGGACAAACAGGCTAATGCACAAAACCCAGTTGGACACAGCTGAAGAAACATTACAGATTTATGCCAAGTGTCAACACATGTCCATAAGTAAGAACCATGTGGAACTGACCTCTTGAAGAACAGGCATTGATTTTTTCCAACTACGAATTGTATGTTATCTTCCTACTCATATTCTGTAAACCTTTCTGTAAGAGGAACATATTTCTGTGGTGTGCAAGGGGCATATCTTGTCTAAATAGTTTACTTTTAGAAGTTTAAATACCTACAGTTTGTTAAACCAGTGGAAATAAATGTTTATGAAGCATTTGGAAGGTATTTCCTATGCATAGTTTCATTGTGCTTTCGTGGCCAGAGAGGTCAATCTGATTGTCTTGTAATATGCTTTTGTCAACCAGTTGGAGTTTGGCATTGGAAAAGTACAGATGAACTTCCTTCATTTGCTGAGTTCAGAAGCAATCCATACCATCACTGTTCACTGCCTAAACACTCCAGTGTGGGGAACCAATGAACCAGGTGCCCAGAAACCCTCCATCAGCTTCAAAGGATGGAATGGTCAAATGTTTGAAGCAAATACTTTGTTTGAACCAAAAGTGCTTCGTGATGAATGCATGGTAAACCATCTACTGCTATATTCAGATCTCTACAAAGAAAGCAGTATTTAATAGAAATTGAGTCTAAACTGTATTTTTCTAACATAACATCTAATTTAAGATGCTCTTTAAATGAAGGTGATTTCATTTCATGCAGTAAACTGATACCCTCATCACCCACGCACCCATGAACATACATATTAACGTCTGTTAGCATCTCTTCAGAAGCTAACAGGAACTGTGGTATCTATCAACTATATTTGCTTTTAGGATTAGACTCCAGGTACTCTAGAAGTACTAACATAACTAACATTAATTTTGTCCTAATGTTCTAAATTAGCAATGGCCAACCTTTAGAGCAAACCTGCTAGAAGTTAAATCCAAAATATGTGTCACATGCATCTGCAGCTTGCACTTCTCTGGTGATTTCGGGTGATTTGAACTCTGATCTTCCCAGATCAGGAATGCAGAGGTGAGCATGACATAACCAGCTGTGGGCCCTCCTGCCTCCGTCCAAGACTGTCACCAACTCCTACTCCCTATACCCATTATGCCAGAAGGCAGGCCATTCATGTCTAATCTATAATAAAAATTGAAAGGTTAAACTTTTTTAAAGTCAAAGTGTTTGGAACTATTTCATGGAAACTTGGAGAACTAATTTCTTTCCAATGGATCAACTCTGGTTATGAACAAGATGCTGCATTCCAAATACTTCATGTTTTATTCAAGAAAGCCAGTAAGTATCCATTTGCACAAAATCTGTTCTTGTCATCATTTGTTCTGTGGAACTCACACTGACCTCAGTGTGCAGACAGATGGCAGGATGACAAGCCCTTAAAGACCTGGAAACCATGCAGAGTAGGTGCTAAACTGCTACCGAATCAGCATTTTCCACTTGGTTAAATTCCTACCACTTTCCACCCACACACCCTACATTTATATCCTGTCCTTTCTTCAAACAGCTTAGAGTAGTGTACATGGGGCTATCCTATTTTATTATCACAATAATTCTTGGAGATGGGTTAGGTTGAGAGAGGGCGATTAGCCCAAGGTGAACATCATGGGCATACAAGAGTTTGAACTCACATCTCCCTAATCCAAGTCCAACACTCTAGCTAAGTCATTATGCTGACTATTTTGCTGAATGAAGACTGATGATAACATCAAAGAAGATGCAGTTTCAGGCTACTGATAATTGCATTTTTCCCCCCTGTGAGATTCTCTGAGATCTATTTCTGCAGAAAACCATGTAATATAGAACTTTCCTAAAGAATTTCACAGATCCCTTTCTCCAGGGATTTCACTTTTTCAGTAGCCTCCACTGTATCTCCAATCTTGACTGGTTGGGCAAGGAAGAATGACTGTAAATTTCAAGACTTGAAGAACCTGGGAATCCCATGCCAGTCCCACACACTGCTTTTGAGTTATTTTATACATTGAATTATATTATACATTGCACAATGTAAACATTTTAATTAAAATTTGCTCAGTATTTTAGAAGATAAGATGTGGTGCTTATTTTTATAACTTCTGAAGTGTTTTTCAGAATTTATCACAATACAGGATAAGGAGTCCACATCAATCCAGACTTCAGATTCTTGTTAAGATTTGTTCCAAAATGGAATTATCATCCACAGACTAGGAAAATAGGAACATCATAAATCCTGTACAAATTAATGCTCTGTTGCTGCTGTTGTTTTTCGTTTAAGAGATAGGCAAAATAAAATCTGTGTATGCAAGCAGCTTGCTTTAATTTATTTATAGCAGAGATGTCGAACTCATTTATTACGAGGGTCAGATCTGGCATAAATGTCACTTTGTTGGGCTGAGCCATGTCTGCCATAAAATGTAATGCCAGGTACCCGAGATAGAAACTGTATTAAGAATAGCAGCTGGTAAGCTCTGAGTTACTGTGGCCTCACTGCAAGGGCTGGGAGGGAGGTGCAAAGGAAACCCACATGGACTGGAGAGCCAGCAGTTCAGCACTACGCAGATGCTCCCACACTGCTTGACTGCTGCAAACGAGGTTGTTCTGCCATGCTGAAGCCACAATCAGAGTGACCCCACACACTCCCCCCCCCACAGCAGTTTCCTGTTACCTCCCTTACACTAGTTGCTGGTGGGATGCATAAGAGCCCTGGATGGACCAGTTCCGGCCCCTGGGCCTTATTTTTGACACCCCTGATTTATAGTATTAATATACTTTCATTAATGATATTTTTCCATGCATTGCAGGTTCAAGATGGCAGCTGGCATAAAACCCAATTCCTTTTTCACAGTCAAGACACCAATCAGCTACCTGTCATTCAAGTGCATAAATTTCCATATCTCAAACAAGGACAACAGCACTACATAGAAAGTGGTTCAGTGTGTTTTCTCTAGGCTTCTGACTGGAATTGGGTTTCTTACATCATCATGGAATTATTGGAAGGAGTTTATTACAAAACTACAGAAGAATTGTGAAGAAAAGTTTTTCTTGTTTCTTAAAGAATCTCAGGAAGAAAAAGACTTCCTCCTAAGAAGGAGAAATGTGTTTTAAAAACCTTGATAACATATTTAATTTTGTGATTGGTGCTTGTGGTATTATTCTCTGGAACTGATATATATACTTGGAAATCCTTCAGAAAACCCCCATGTTCTTAACCTCCTTAACAGCACTGCCCAAAACCCCCTAAGGAAAGATGGAGGCATACAGTACAAAGGAGCAACCTTGGCTCATGCTCCCAAATGTGCAATAGCTTGTATTATAATGATATGAGAAAGAGTTATGCCACCAAAAACAAATCTTTTCCTTAAACACTTAAGTTGTATTACAGTCCTTTATGGACACAGACATCTTAACAGATGATACACTACCTCTTTTGTGTTTCCTGTCTGTTTTGCCTGGTGCTTTGGGGGAGGGTGCTTTTTATTTTGTTAAAGCTGTATGTACTGGTTACATCAAGAGAACTTGTCATTGTAAAATTGTTTTTTAATGGTCATATCATTGAGTGAAAACATTATTTATGTGAAAACCTTGTTTAAAATGTTTCTGTCTTAGATAAGGAACTGATACATGAGACAGGTCATTGTATCTGGCGCGTATAGAAATAACAGAAATTTGTAGCTGTAGAAGGGCTACATACAGGAGTCTTTTAAAACTTTCTGGACTGCAGTTAAGGATTTTTTAACTATCCAAGGCCACCTACAGTGATGTATTGTGTAAATATTTTGTAACTGCTGAAAATGTTAATACAGCATATATTTTAAATGGGTGCTATTAAATTATAATAACCTGTATTACTTCAGTTTCTTGGATATTATGAGTTTTGGCCCCATCTACAACACCCTGTTCCAGTTTTTATAATGTCTTCTGGAAAACTTTTCAGTCCTCAAGATATCAGAAATATTCTTTGACTACTTCTCCTTGCAGAAATCCGAACACGCCATTGTCAAACATTGTCCAACAATGTTTTAATCCACTGTTATCCAGAATGCAACGATACACTCCTGAAAGGGAAGAGACATTGATAATTTTAAACAATCTCTAATTATTATGTGTTTTACCTAAATATGTATGGTGTTTCAAAGATTTGCACATCATCTTTTTTACTTAAAGAAAGTACTCAAGATTGGAATATAACAAAACAGCAGCTGGAATCCAAAACATACTAACTAGTAAGTAAGGGCCAGTTTATATATGTAGCCCAGCAATATTCACTTTGCAGTTTGTGGAGAGCCATATTTGTAATTACCATCAACCAAAAAGAGCCACATGACTACTGTACTTCCTGCATGCCACCCCAGCACACACACACATAAATAGGATATCACTCTTAATGTTAATATAAAACTATATTTTTTAATACCGGGTTGCTATGGACGATGTGGGATTGCCTCTCCCCCCACCACAGAACCTTAACCAGCCCTCATGCATCTGGACTAAGGCTTCCCTCTCTGCCTTCTCACTCTTTCTCTTAAGCATGAGGCACAGCAGCTCAGATGATGGAGTGAGACAGCCAAAACTCCCAGACAGGGATGCCAGCCTCCAGGTGGAGCCTGGGGGCCCCCTGGAATTACAGTTCATTTAGACAACAGGGATCTGTTCTCTTGGAGAAAATAGATCCTTTGGAGGGTGGACTCTATGGCACTGTGCCCCACTGAGGTGCCTGTCTTCCCCAGGCCCCATCCCCAAATCTCCAGGAATTTACCAACCTGGATCTGACAACTCTCCCCCCCCCCCCATCCCTTGCCGATGGCCAGGTAGGACCTGGCAACTCTACTCCCAGAGGAGAGCAAGCTGGTCGTGGAGAAAGGAGAGTAAAACCAAGATCACCCCACTGTGGCCAATTTGCTCTTTTCCCAGGTGGCTGCCATGGGGAGGGTGCTTGTATTCTCTGTAACCAGACTGCCATCCTCTCTGCAGCCACCTGGGTGCTGGATGAGAATGAAAGAGGTGGAAAGAAAGAAAGAGTACATGGGGGCGGGAGGGGGAAGGAAGGGAGAGAGAGAGAGAGAGAGAGAGAAAGGTGGAAAGAAAGCAAATAGATGGGGAGGGAAAAAGAAAGGGGGGGGAGAGAGATAGAAAAACAAAGAAAGCAAATAGATGGGGGAGGGAAGGGAGCCACACGGAAATATGTGTGAAAGAGCTCCCAAGCCCGCAGCTTGGCCACCCCTGCCATAGGGTAAAGTTGCTTCAAAGAGTCCTATAGCGGCCCCTCTGGCGATCTTCCTGATTAGGAAAGCATTCAGAAAACAAGGGAACTTCTTGCACTGCAATACTATGCCAAATTTAAAAAGGTAAAGGTTCCCTTGGTCGAAAGCCAGTCGAATCCGACTCTAGGGTTGCGGTGCTCATCTCCGTTTCAAAGCCGAAGAGCCCGCGCTGTCCGAAGACGTTTACGTGGTCATGTGGCCGGCATGACTAAACACCAAGGCGCACGGAACGCTGTTACCTTCCCACCGAAATGGTACCTATTTATCTACTTGCAATTTCTTGCTTTCGAACTGCTAGGTTGGCAGGAGCTGGAACTTAGAGACAGGAGCTCACCCTGTCTTGCGGCACCCGGGTCTTGAACCGCTGAACTACTGACCTTCCATAGCCTGCAGTTCAGCGTCTTAACAAATTTACCTAAGCGTAAAGCTCGACTAGTTAACACGCTACAAGGACCTAGTGCTGAATGAGCGGGCACAGAGCCCACTCACTCTTCTAGAAGCAAGAAACAGACGACTGACTTTACAAATTACCTCAGTCTGCCGGAAATACTCATAAATTAACCAATCCACCACCCCACCCGCAAGCCTGGCGACAACGCCTACCCCCTCCATCAGCGTGAAGGAAATGCGCCTTCTCGACTCCTGAAGCAAGAAAGCGCCCCGCCCCCACGATTGGCGGAGGTCTTTCCGTAACTCCTGCCGCTAGGGGGAGGCCTCTCCTTTACATGCGCCTAATTAGCCGGTCTAGGCTTTAGAGGAAATACGACGCTGTCCGGTTCTGGGCATAGAGAGATGGAGGTTGTAATCATGGCAGACGATGGCAGTGTGGAGGCTTTTGAGGTTGTAAAGCGGAAGATGTCGCTGAAGAGGTAGGAGATTTCCTCCCCCAAAGCGGGGAGGTCTCTCTGCTCACTTTTCCTCACTCCGGAGGGGTTACCCAGAGTATTTAATTGAGACGAGACAGAAGAGACGGACTCGGGAATGAAAATTGTTCCATCTACGGGAAACTTAGTTTAGGCATTGGGGGGATCTTTGCCGCGTAGTGCGCAAGGTCCACGTGGTAAGAGGTCCACGTGCTGTTAGTTATGGGGGGGGGGGGGGATAAAAGAAATATTTAGTCATGAACGCTCACAGGCAAACGGCTCTCTCTTCCTTTGCACCCCTGCAGTTTTTTAAACTATATTGTCTGCCGTTGCACGTATCTGACGAAGTAGGGCTCTGTTCCCTAATTGTGTTAGCCCGTGGGGGAGGGGGGGGATAGCGACCGCTCTGAGAGCGAAGAAATTAACCTGTGGATCTTAACGCTGCTGCTCTTTAATAGTTTCATTTTAAAACCTGAGAAATAGCTCTGAGGAGTGTTTTAAAAGTTAATTGATGTGGTTGATTTAGTGAGAAATTTGTTTTCAGTCGTTATTTTATACCCTACTTTAGGATTACAGGTGTCCTCTTTTGGGCTCTTCTAAAAATGATGAAAATGAACTCTTGTTGGATAGGAACGTTAGGAATATTCCTAGTTAGTAGCAATTAACACAACTTAAATAGTAAGGGAATTTAAAATGAGGTTTGTCATAGTGATAGTTTGAAGTAGTCAGTCAGGAAATATGTCCTCTTTTTTGCTTTTCAAAATACAGTTAACCCTACTGGGGGCCCAGAGTAGCTAGCCACGTTATTGGGGGGGGGGGCACACACTTTAGCAACAGTTCAGTCAATGTTATGAGTAAAAACCAATAAAAACACTACTTTAAAATTATCTACATAAAACCTCTCCGTATATAACATGTCCTAATATACCTAGCCATTGAAAGATTAGAATCTGAGTAAATTATGCACTGGATGTTAGCTGATATTTTAATTGCAGAACACAGAAACTGTGCCACAGAAACAGTAGTTCTTTGGTCAGCCCCCGCCAGTATACTATGCTGAGAGTTTTCTGCTCAGAGAACATTTTCTTATCACAAAACAAAGTATCCAATAAATCTAAGTGTGCCTATACATAGAATCTATAGTGAAAAAACACACCTACCAATATCTCAAACAGAGGAAGGACAAAATTTACAATTAGATGGAATGTGTTTGCATCTTCCTGACAGGAGTGCAGATGGTGGCACATTAAATCTAGCCAGTCACATGGCAATATTTTTGAACTGTTGATATAGATAGGTAATGTGCATATTGATGTGGGATCGTTGGAGCTATGTTAAATAGTAGGGGAGAGCACACACTGCAAGCTTTGACCAGTGTATCCTTTATATGGTCATCAGTCTCTACACTAGCTTTACTTAACCCCACAGATTTTAAAAAGGGAGGGCAAAGACCAAAAACAGTTAATTTCACAGGCTGAGACAAGTTAGCATATAAGGATCAGTCATTAGTCTGTAAAGAAAGTTGTTCTGATCACTGATGAACAAAAGTCGGATTCTAAATCTAAAAGCTGCTATAAGCGCTGTTTCTATTCCAAGGGCCATATGAGGGCGCTCATCTAGGCACCATAAGAATTGTTCTTGGGAACCAGAAATTAATTAGTCTGGTAAAAGGAGTGGGTGCTTGCACCCAAACTGAAGCTGCATATAGAAGCTTATTTGTAATCTTAGTGGTAAATAATAGGAGCACCCCTGAGATAACTATGGGATGGCTGTCAAAGCCACAAAGCGAGAGTACTATACAGGTGCGATGTCATCTGCAAGCTC